AGAGATTTGCCCCATTTGAACTTCCAAGTTACGAATTGATGTATTGTGGGAAGCATGTTGGGCATCGAAATCGGCATTCTTCTCCATCATTTGCTTGAACATATTCTCAATACGTCCCATTTCATTGTTGGAAGAACTTGGACCATGGGAAGGATAAGGAGGCGAGTTGCTCGGTTGTTGATACATCGGGGCTTTTGAAAGGCAGACCCCCGATTGCCTTGATTATTGTTCCATCCCCCTTAGTTGTTACCTCCCCAATATCCTTGGTTGTTGCCACTCCAATTGCCTTGGTTATTTACACCACTCCAATTTTCTTGATTATTGTTAATATTCCAATTCCCTTGATTGTAGCCATCACTCCAATTACCTTGGTTGTTAGAATTCAAATTACCTTGATTACCTTGAGGTAGGCATTGTTGTTGATTCGGGCCTTGAGAGTTATTTCTTTGCCCTTGAAAGTTGTTCACATATTTCACTTTCTCCTCTTGTTCATTGTACGATTCATCTTGATCAACCCCACTATCTTCTTGCACATAATTCTCCACTCGGTTTTGCACTTGTGGACCCTTGGTCCTTCTTTTGTTCACTATCATACTTACTCCCTCCATTGCATTGACTTGCTTAGGACTTTGCACTTGTTGAAGTTGAACCTTGGCTAATTGATTCATTGTGGTGGTTAGCTCGGAAATGGCTTGCCCATGGTCATGGAATTCTTTATATAGGTGAATCACGTTTGGATCAACTTGAGGAACATTTGCCATGCCGATGAAGTGTCCGCCATTTCATCTAAAATCTCACAAGCTTCTTCATATGGCGATGTCATGAAATTTCCACCGGCAAGTTGATTTACCACGCACTGATTGGTCGTATTGATCCCCCGATAGAAAGTTTATTGAATCATAGCCTCTGTCATGTCATTATTAGGGCACTCTTTGACCATTTTACTATACCTTTCCCATATCTCATGTAACGACTCATTGGGCTTTTGTTTGAATGCTAGAATCTCGTCTCTAAAAGTAGTCATATACCCGGGAGAAAAGAACTTCGAAATAAATTTCTCCGCCAACTCATTCCATGTATGGATGGAATGATTTGGCATTCTCTCTAACCAATGCATGACTTTCCCTCATAGACAGAAGGCAAATAGCCTTAACCTTAAAGCATTCTCGGAGACGTTTGTCTGTTTACTCCCCCAATAAGTGTCCACAAGCCCCTTCAAGTGTTTCTATGCATATTGACTCGGAGCCCCGGTGAAGAATCCTCGTTGCTCTAGCAATGTGAGCATTACATTCGTGATTTTAAAGTTGCCTGTCCTAATGCGGGGCAGGACTATAGCACTTGCATACCCTATATTCGCCAACACCCGGTGTGGAGCCGCTCTTGGTGGAGATGGGGGTGGAACTGGGATATTGTCTTGAGGCAGTCGGCCTCTTCTATTTGCTTGAGGTTCAAGAGGAACCTCTTCAACTTGGTCATCTCAGCATCCACATCCCCTAAAGGCATGTTTCCGAGTTGATCATTGTTGAGAGCCATTGTTGCACCTACAATTGATTCACAAAAATCAGTAACATGGAAGGAAAAGAAGACAATTAAACGGTGCCAAAAATTGATATTGTCCAAGTCTCACCTCTATTTAAGGTTATGAAAACGGTCGATGCAATAGTAATACCCAACAAGAAGTCGGGGTCAATTTTCCACAGGGAGCTACGAATGGGACTTAGGAGTATATATTGCAGTGTATGAGCTGGAATTATCTCAATTTGCACTTCAACAAACTTGGGATTGTTTCTAGGTCTAATTTAAACTAAAATTGCAAACTAAGAAATGAAACTAGGAAATAGTTTTTGTTGTTATTCAAATGATATAAAAGGCCTAGGGCAATGACCTTCACCTCGGTGTTTGCCTAATGGGTTGTAACTTTTAAAGCTTGTTTTATTGGTCGGGGTGTATTATAGCTATAAACACTCAAGTACTCACTCAATACCTCTCGGTCAGAGAGTGATTTTGCCCAATTTGGCTTTCTCAAGTCCAAATGAGTATTGAACAAAATGGTTGATAAACATCTCAAGTCGGTTTTACTATCTCTAGGTTCAGCCCTTTAATTGGGCTTATCAATGTCTCGATTGACCCAATTTCTTGTTAGCCAAGTTTTTCTAGACTAAGTCTCTCATTCTAAAGTAGAAACCAAGTCAAATAGGCATGAACTAATGTTTGCAACCATTAATTCTACAATTAAAAGGAAGAACAAGACTAAATAATAAACACCCAACCATAATCAAGCAATAAATCAAACACCCATTAAGTTTACACTCTAGGATTGGGTCACAACCCTAGTGAAATTCTAGCTACTCGTGCTTAAAATAGAAGAAGTAGAAGAATAAATGATAATTAAACCCATATTGATAATTAAAATGATGAAATCAATAGCTCCAAATAGCAAAACTACTAAAGAGAGTAAAAAAACCCGTCTACTATAGCAGCTGATGTCAAAACTTGACCCAAAAAGTGAAACTCTTTTATTTATACAGTGCTGGAACTTTCGGAGAAAAATGCCCTTTCGCAGGTTCTGCGGCCGCACAATTCTATGTGCGGTTTGCACTTTTCTTCATTCTTGACATGGTTGGAAATCTGCGGTCGCATAATTCTGGACAGCAACCGCACTGCTCTCTTTCTGCGGTCCGCACAATAATGTCTGCGGCCGCACCTTGCTCTTCTGTGGTCCGCACAAATATGACTACGGTCGCGTAGCTTTTCTTCTGTTGCCGCACAATAATTGTGCGGCCCAATATTTTGTTGGACTTGAGATGCAGGTTCTCTGATCTTTTGCTCTGACCCAGTTTCTGCGGCCGCATATATCATGTGCGTAATGCACTTTGCACATTTCTCTGATGGGAATTTCATCACAACCTGCAGCCGCAGATGGTATTCTGCGGTCCGCACTACTGAGCTTTTGTGCCTGTTTTTGTCCTTGAGTTCAGATTACTCCTTCATGAGTTGGATTTCATCTTGGGAGTTCTTCATCCAATAGTCTTGCAATTAGGCACATTTCATCAGTTTTCGGGAACACAACTAAGCGCTTTTGGACTAAAACGAAAGCAAAAAGGCACTAACAAGTAGTCAAAATCCCCACTTATCACGACACAATCCTCGCACTTGCGCCTCCAACCCAGCTCCCTTCTAGTCGCTTCTACGATCCACTGCCTCGCTTATGCGAGGCTGTTTCTGCGATGAAGCTTCCGTAGAAGAGGTTGCACCAGCAACAAGAAAAATCCTAGAATCCCTTAAGTCCAAAATCCGATTCGAATCCCGTCCGAAACTCACCCGAGACCCCCCGGACCCCGTCCAATCATACCAACCATTCACAAAACACAATGTGAACTTAGTTGAAGCCTCAAATCACGCAAACAACATTGAAACTACGAATCGACAATTGAAATTCTTCTTTGACTTTCTAACTTTCAAACGTCGACGAACGCATCCGAACCATACCAAAACATTTCGGAATGACGCTAAACTTTGCGTACAAGTCATAAATCACAATACAAACCTGTTCCAAGGCTCAGAATCCCAAGCGTACATGGATAGCATAAAAATCCATTTCAAACTAAACTTAAAAAAATTTTAAACCTTCAAAATGCCAACTTTTCATAATAAGCACCGAAATGCTCCCGGGTGATCCGATACTCAAGTCGAACATACGGCCAAGTTCAAAATTGTCATACAAACCTATTGGAACGTTTATATCCTGATTCCGAGGTTGTTTACTCAAAAGTCAAACCTTAGTCAATTATTCCAACTTAAGGCATCCGAAATTAGAATTTTCTTTCCAAATCAACAGCGAACTTCCCGAAATTTAATTCCGACCACACGTACAAGTCATAATACATAAAGTGAAGCTACTCAAGGCCTCAAACCGGTGAACAACGCGCTAGATCTCAAAACAATCGGTCGGATCGTTACAGATACTCACCAGAGTCTCAAAGTCTAAACACACAACATAGAGTGAAACCTGAGACAAAGAAGATGAAACAAAATATAGCAGCAGAAGCGTTAGTAATATCCATTTTAGTGCAAATAAAATAATTTACTTTACCAATTTTATATTTTGTAAGAGTAAGAATATATTCCATTACAAAATATGTAAGTTCTCATATTCCGAGAAAATGTTCCATTCGAATTTTTGTAGTTAAGACAATCATTTAATAATAATTTTTGTATCTACTGGAGCAGAAAGCAGTAATTATGAATACATGACAAGAGGGTTTTTCCTTTATTTCTTCTTTTGTTTTCCTTCCTATTTTGGGAAGAATTGTGATAATAAACACAAAAAATATGTCTTTGTTAGAAATAATAATTCTGCTAACGTTTTGTTTCTTGAAAATAAATTTCATACCGTGGTATACAAAAAAAAAACCTTATTTCCCTGAATTAAAATTGATCTTACTTTTTCTTGGCTATACATTAAAAAAATTTAACTTTAATTATTTGGATTTAAAAATTCTGGTAATGAAGTGTTTGAGAATATAACTAGTATTTTCGTAAGTGGGGTTTAAGTTGGCATAACTAATAAATTACATGGTTAACTAAATAATCATAAAAGAAGTTTGAACAAGGAAAAAAAGGAATTTAAAGTTGTGAGCACCAAATTTTTGTCCTAATGCTAAATTACTCCTAAAAATATCCCTAAATACTTTTTAATTATTTTTATAGAATTTTAAGAATTTTCTATTTGATGCGTTTTGTGTTTAGTTGTGTTTTTGCATATTAAGTAACATTTTTTTCCGATAAACTAACATTTACCTTTAGCAGAAATTGTTCTGTACATAGTAGGAACTGCTGGCCAGTTCCTTAACTCTCTTTAGACTATACTTGACTCCAACGTTTCATAGATGTCTTCCTATATAACTATGCTAGTCAACTATATGTATCACAGCCTCTACATGTATTCTACTATCATGAAAACAGAAAATCATGAATACAGATATACAGTAGAAGCCTAACTATGGATATCTGTTCAAAGCTTCCATGTGTTCCTGCCAATTGCTGTGTATATGGCTTTTAATATGAACATATGTAGTGATCTCTCGGCATATCTGCGCTGCTGAAGTACTTCCATTTTGAAATCTGAGCAGATTCCTGTGCCTCCATAAACTGTATATCAACATGCCAAACACTGCTACAATAATATTGCCAATCCCTTTCTTCTTCCTAGCATGATAAACCACCCAGTGCAGCTCCTCCTCCCAAGCTTGAATCTGTCTTTGAATTCACAACCAGTTTAGTAATCCTTTCCAGATAGTGCTTGTGTATGAACACTCAAAGAATAAATGTTCAAATAACTCATCTTCCTGACCACAAAATACACATACCTGAGCTACTTGAATACCAATTTTCTGCAGTCGATCATCTGTTGGTAGTCTCCTTTGTATGGCTAGCCACAGATTGAATTTGTGTCTAGGATGTATATGAGGATGTAAGATCAGACTTTTCCAGTATACCTTCTGACCCTGAGGAGTTTGCAAGTTATAGAGCTTCTTAATACTGAATTTACCATTTGTGTTCTGTAAGGACTCCAGTCTTTCTTGCTCATTGCCTTGTAAACTTGGTAAATTCAGTATAAACTTCCTTTGTTCAATAATCTTCCTTACTACCCAAGCTGCACTCTTAGGTATAGTCATGGTGTCAATGCTCCTGTTCTTTATGTAATAAGAATGGATCCATCGAATCCATAAGCAGTCTTTCTTCTTTGTGATTGCCCACAGGTGCTTCACTATTGCAGCTTTATTCCAGTTACAAAGGTTTATCACATTCAAACCTCCCATTGTTTGTGGTAAACAAACTCTGTCCATACTACCAAAGCTCTTCTAGATATATCAGCCTGCCCTGTCCACAGAAAAGTTCTACAATTGCCTATATCATCTTGCTAATCTTCTTTGGTAATAAAATACCTGAGCCCAATAAGACTGCATCCTAAAAATCACTGACTTAATGAGCTGGAATCTTCCAGAATATGATAATAATTTTGAGGTCCAACAACTGATCCTTGCAGTGATCTTTTCAACCAATGGCCGGCACTGTTGGTTAGATAGCTTTTTAGGAGCTAATGGTACCCCTAAGTATTTAAATGGTAGGCTTCCTTCATTATATCCCAACTCCCGCAAGATAAGTTCTTTCATCCTCTCATTTATACATGCTATGTAACCTGAGCTTTTATTTGGATTTTCTTGAAGGCCTGAAGCTCTTGAAAATTTCAGAAATGCATCCTGCAGTAACTTAATTGACTTCAAATCAGCTTTGCAGAACATCAATAAATCATCAGCAAAACACACATGCATCACTCCTAGTCTTTTACACCTTGGAAGAAAATGGAAATCATTATTTAAACCCAATTGACTAAATTCCCTTTGCAAGTACTCCATAGCTATCACAAATAAGCAGGGTGACATAGGGTCTCACTGTCTTATCCCCCTTTTACCTTCAAATGGCTTTGTGAGTCCTCCATTTAAGGTGAAAGAGTAGGATACAGTTGTTAGGCACTCCATTATCCAGCAAACAAATCTGCGTGGAAACCCCAATCCTATTAGCATCCTCTTCAAGTAGAACCATTCTAATGTATCATAGGCTTTCCTAAGATCAACCTTGAGAATACATCTTGCAGATATTCCTTTCCTAGTATAGCCTTTGAACAGTTCATGGGTGAATAAAATATTATCAGTTATATTCCTGCCTTCAATGAAAGCTGTTGAGCGTCCCCCACCAAATAGTTCATTACTGCTTTTAATCTCCCAGTGATGATCTTTGTGATAATCTTGTAAATAGTTGTGCAACATGCTATTGGCCTAAAGTCCTTAACATGTGTAGGATTAGGAACTTTAGGAATTAGAGTAATAGCAGTGTTATTGATGGCCTTTGGTAGCTTCCCTGTATTAAAGAAATCCAAGACATCAGCAATCACATCTACTCTAATCACCTCCCATTGTTTTGTGAAGAACTCTACTGGAAAACCATCGACCCCAGGAGCCTTTTCAGTGTAACACCCCGTAAATTTGGCTTAGGTATCAATGAGTTAAAGGAGTAGTAAGGTTATATTTTGGACGTGTGAAGCCCCATCGGGATGATTATGGGTAAAATAGTTATTTCAAAATCAAGATGGAAAGTGAGGTGCATAAGATTTGACAAAATCGACTAAGTTTGCAGAAGGTCTGTCTTCCAGCAGGGTTTCGGGAAAATGTGCAAGGCATTTGGGAAAACTCAAAGCATAAAAGTTGTAAGCCTTTGAAATATCTTTCCAACAATATATTATGGAGCCCGAACGGATCTCTGTGCAAAAAGTTATGCCCGTTTTACAGAACAGTATGCCATATGCGCGCCCTGAGCGCGCCCCTAGCGCGGCCGCGCTTCTTTTGAGGCAGTGTTACTGCCGTTTTGCGCGGTCAGTAGCGCGGTCAGGTCTACAGGTGCACGGGCACGCTCGTGGGGGGTCGTTTTAAAGCCCTACTTCGTCCCCCACCAAAACATAAAAACTTGCTCTAGAAAGGGGAACTCCAAAAAACCTAACTCCTTAAGGGTCCTTCCACCACACAAGGTAAGTTTTAATGGTGATTCTAAGTTAATTTCAATTTCCCAACATCTTATTAACATGGGTAAACCCTCCATATCATTATATATTCGATTGGGACTTCATTGTTGAGAGAAGGAAGCCTTGAACTCGAATTCAAAGGGTTTGAATTTTGAAAAGGTAATGTCTTCACCCTCTAATTGATTCTAGCATTGGTTTAATGATTTTAAATCCTAGTTCATGTGATATGAGTTGATGGGTTTGATAGAAAAGCATGAACGATTATAGATTTGGTGTGTTGATTGTTGATTATTGGTTAAGGGTGTTGTTTACTTTATGGGTGATAAAGAATAATCTTGATTATAACCATTTGAGACTTTAGAATTTATCTAGGAACAAGAGAACGGGTTATTGGGTGTAGAGACACCATTAATAAGGACTATGAAGCTTTATTCTCACCAAGTGTTTGATAAGATACTTAAGTGACCAAAACATGAGCATCATAGCTAATATGGAATCCCTTTGACTTGTATTGCTATAGATTAAAGTTGAAAGGGTTGACAAACGTTGTATTACGCTCAAGAGCAGGATGTTAAGGTATGTGAAGCTAACTCTCTATGTTTGGGAATGTTAATGATTCTCCCTACACTACGTTTCTTTTACGACGTTACTAATTGCCTCAGAAATATAGTTTAACCTAGTTCCTTGAATAGTTGTAGAACTTCTATTCTTTAGCTCCATAACCGTTCATGACTTTCGTTCTGAACGTTGTGAGCTCAGTGCATACTCAATATAGACTTAGATTTGATGCCCCCGAGTCTTAGTATAGATTACTCAGTATGCCATAAACAGTTGAAGTTTCAGCGTTCATAATCAGTTCAAGAATACATGTCTAGTCTAGTCCTATTCAGTATTCCAGTATTATGTAACTCAGTGTGATCCAGTATTCCAGTATCATGTAACTCAATGTGATTGAGTATTTTATTATCAAGTATTGCAATATGATTCTCAGTTCCTGATTTTAAATCCTTAAAAGTTGAACACCTGCATTTGGGCCTGAGGCTGCACTTTATGCTTTATGCACCTTTGGGCCTGAGGCCGCAGTTTATGCTTTATGCATCTTTGGGCCTAAGGCCGCAGTTATGTATACGTATACTTGGGCCCGAGGCCGTAGTTGTGCACATATATATATATTGGGCTGAGGTCGCAGTTTATCTATTTAGAAAAATAGGTTGTTCATCATTCAGAAGAGGAAGTACTCATATCCTTACTTCCTTTATTCAGTTCAGTTATCAGTTATCATTCAGTTATCAGTTATCAGTTCAGTTATCAGTTATCAGTTATCATTTCAGTCTCTGTTTCAATAGTTACCATTTCAGTTATGAATTATCAATTCTCAGTTATCAGCTTAGTTTCAGTTTCAGCATTTATAATTATTTCTTTCGGTTGCTTTACATACCAGTGCAATTCAAATGTACTGACGTCCCTTTTGCCCGGTGCCTGCATCTCACGATGCAGGTAATGATTTACAGGTTGATGATTCAGAGCGCTAGAATTCTCGTACCAGCTAGTTCGTGAACCCTAGTTCTTTCGGGGCATTATCATTAATTTACAGTCTTTCCGTATTTACAGACAGTCAGTGTTTTCAGTACTTCATTAGAGGCTTCATAGACTAGAGTAACAGTTAGATAGAGTCTCAGGCTTTTCACGTTATGCTATGTTGGCTGCAAATATGTTTCAGAATTGTATTAGTATTTCCGCACTTTGATTTATATCATCCAGAGTTTCAGTATATCAGCATGTGTTAGTTTATCTTCCGCATTCAGTATGTTATGATACCAGATGTTGATTCAGCCAGCCAGTTGGTTCGTTCGGTCACATGTAGTCAGGCACCGAGTGCCGTGTTACGTCCAGGCCCAGGTTCGGGGCGTGACAGTCAGTTGGCATGCTTTTAATAGCTCCCATTATCTCCTCCACTGTGACTTCCTTGATCAGCTCCAGTTGTTGTTGCCTTGTTAGACAAGGTCCCTTTTTGATCACCTCAGCATCTGGACAAGGGTGCATTGGTGATGACGCACCCATCAATTTCTTAAAGAAGTCTAGAAATTTCTCCTCCACCTGTTTAGGATCTGTTAATTTAATACCTGCATCATTTTGAATAGAAACAATAGCATTAGTATTAGTACGCATCTTCCACTGAGCATGGAAGTACTTGGTATTTGCATCTCCATGTTGAACCCAAGCATCTCTAGACTTCTGCCTCAACACCTGCTCCTCAATGTCACTCCATTTCTCCACTTCTAACAAAGCTTCCTTTTCTTGTTCTATGCATTCTTGCCTTAAAGGCTGCAAAGATAGTTGATGCTGAACCAGTTCCAACTTCTGCTTTGCTAAGAAAAATACAATTTTTTTTATCTTTACATTTTTTTAGATTTTAATTGCATAATTAATTGCATTTGTAAAACACTCTAATACCAAAAATACATTAGTAACATTACATGCATTTGTTAGTTAAATAATTAGTTAATTGTTAGAAAATAGATACTTAGGTTAAATTTGCAAAGTTAGTTTTAATTATAATTAGATTAGTTAATTTAGAAAATATTTAGACAAGGAAAGAAAGAGGCTATTTACTTTATTGTCAAACTGGGCCAGTGATCAGCGGCCCAAATCTTGCTCCAATTTTGCCAAGCCCAGACCCCATTAAATCCGGTCCAGCCCCAAAGACCCCAAACGATCCCATTTCGCCCTTTTGAATCACAGTCATCCATCAATCCCCATCTAACAGACCTAAAGCTAACCCCATTTTACATTTAACTGTCCAAACCAACTCCCCAAAGCCCTAAAGACACCTCATTTGCTTCATCTTCCTCCCTCCATCTCTCTCTCTCAAACCCTAGCCGCCCTAAAATCCCTGGCCGGCGGCTCACTAGCAAACATCCCCAAATGTTCACCCTACAATCCTCAACTTCCCCACATCACTAATCTCCAACTAGTTTTTCCAAAATCCCCACCTAACTCGTGGATTTTTAGATCTTAAAATCCTAGAAAACCCTAGATTTCTTGGTCCTCTATTATCTTTAACACTTGAGTATACAGGGTTCCATTTTGCGGATTGCCATGTTTTCCTGGCAGTTTCGACTCTCATGAGTCTTTTCTTCCAAGAAAATCCGGCCAGGTCAAATTTCAGGACGGATTCCCTAGAGGAAAAGACCTTTGGGTGGTCAAATTGCGTTGAGTAAGGCATGACAGATCTCCTCGTTTCTGTCTACTCAGGGATGGTGTAACGACCCGACCGTTTGTTTTAAGCAATCTCACTTTACTCGGTTGTTAGAGGGCATAAGTAGTCGTATGATGTATTATGACTTATGTGAATCATCAGTTTTCATTTTCAGGTTATTCGGAATTGATTTAGAAAAATGATTCTCAGCTATAAGCTTCAAATTGGAAAGGCTTGACCAAGTTTGACTTTTTAGTATTTGACTTCAAATTGGATTTCTGATGGTTCTGTTATCTTTGTTGGGTGATTTTAGACTCAGGAGCGCGTCCATACTTTGATTTGGAGGTGCATAGTGGAATTTGGCTTGAAATGGCGGAAGTTGGAATCTTGGAAAGTTTGACCGGGAGTGGACTTTTTGATATCGGGGTCGGATTCCGATTTCGGAAGTTGGAACAGGTCCGTAATGGAAAATGTGACTTGGGTGCAAAATTTGAGGTCAATCCGATGTGATTTGATAGGTTCCGGCATCGGTTGTGGAAGTTGAAGTTTCAAAGTTCAATGATTTCAAATTTTGAGGTGTGACTCGTCGTTTCGATGTTTTTATGTGTGTTTTAAGGTCGCGAGTAGGTCCGTGCAATGTTATGTGACTTGTTGTTATTTTTGGATGTGGTTCGTAGGGGCTCGGGTGAGTTTCGGACGGCTTTCAGAGCATTTTCCTTCATGATTTCACTACTGGTAGTTGCTGTTTGTTGGTGTTTCAGACCTTCTTCGAAATCGCGAAGATTAGCACGCGATCACGTAGAGTATCAGGCGAGTTGAACTTTTTCCCTTCATCGCGTTCACACCAGTAGCATCGCGTTCACGAGCCTTTGCGAGGTCTGGGCATCGCGTTGGCGCCCTTATGTATGCGTCCGCGTAGGGCAGAGATGAGAAACTGGGGCTAGGGAGTATCCCTTCGCGTTCGTGATGTAGCTTATGCGATCGCGTAAGGAGGAGCTGTTGTGAGTCGCGTTTGCAAGGGCCACGCTGCGAACGCATAGAGCATTTTTGGTAGCTGGTATTTTTATTCATCGCGAACGCGATGGTTGTCCCGCGTTCGCGAAAGAGAAGGCGTGGGCAGATTATAAAGTACTCTATTCGAGGGTTTCAACCATTTTCGCATTTTGGGAGCTATGGAGCTCGGATTGAGGCGATTCTTGAAGTAATTTTCACCATATGAATTGGGGTATGTGTTCTCTACTCGGTTTTAGTTGTATTCCATGAATCTACCTTCGATTTTAGCAATTGATTGTTCAATCTTAAATAGGAAATTGGGGATTTTGGCCTAAAGTTTCATAATATGAATTTTTGAGTTTTGAACACCGATTTGGAGTCAGATTTGAGTGAAACTAGTATGGTTGGACTCGTAATAGAATGGATTGTCGGATTTTGTGAGTTTTCTCGGGTTCCAAGGTGCGGGCTCGTGTGTGATTTTTAGCCGAAATTGGGATTTGATTTAGGATTCGATCTTTATCATTTGTAATTGTTTCCTTGGGCTTCATCTGATATATTTGAGTTGTTATTGACTATTTTGAGTCGTTCGAAGGTCGCTACACGCATGATGTCATTCTTGGAGAATCGCTTGGCTTGCTCGGTGTCAGAATTGGCCTGTTTAAGATAAGTAACTCTTCTAAACATAGTGCCGATTGTATAAAATCCCAAAGTACGTGCTATGTGATTGATGTTGAGGTGACGCACATGCTAGGTGACGGGCGTATGGGCGTGCACCCTGCGAATTGTGACTCTGTTGTTTTCAGGGCACTGAATAGTGGTCCTATTTTTATTTACATTTGCGTTTTCACCATGTGATAAAATAAATGAGCTGTACATCATTCTAGATATCATGTTTAGGCCTTATGCTGATATTGTTGGGACCCATAGTGGTCGTTTCTTGCTGTCATCTCATTGAATTCATTGATATTTTGTGCTCAGTCACATCCATGCATTCATATCATATCTAGGTCTCAGTTGTTACTTATTGATACATCATATCATTATTTTGGGTCAGTTTTCATGACCTTGTGAGCCCGTGGGTGAGACTTGAGAGATTGATGAATGAGTGAGGCCGAGAGCTTGATTATGAGTGACAGTTATGGGATCAGGCTGCACGTCGCAACATGATTTATTGATTATGGAGTAATGCTGAGGGCCTGATTGATCTATGCCATGATTGGCTTGTTATAGCGCTTGGGCCATAGAAGCCCCTCCGGAGTCTGCACACCTACAGTGGGTGCGATTGATTATATTGAGGGATGAATCTTCCCTGGACATGGATCTTGTTCGAAGCATTTATATACCTGGAGATGGATCTTCTCCATGGGGCCGAATTGGCCTTCCTCGATACTGAGTGACTGATGGTCAGTGATATTGATATATATATATATATCCCGGGATGGATCTTCCCTGGGCCGTATAGTCCATATACTGTATCGAGTGGTTGAGTATGAAAAGTGGTAAGTGTGATACAGTGAGGTTGAGTACTCTGAGAGTGTGAGTACATGATTCATCTCTGAGATACATGGCATTGGCATGCATATATGGCATACATGCATAGAGATGCATTTTGTTCCTCATGTTGTACAGTATCACATCATTCATGACTTTTACACATTGGTATGTAGGCATAGAGTGATATTTCACACTTGTTATTTGGAAAAGAAAGGAAACATGTTTACCTATTGTGGAAAGGAACTTTCAGGAAAAATTTCAGTTTTCAAACTATCTCACGATATTGCGATGATTTCGATAAAGGATTTGGGTTTTCATTGATATTTTTGTAAAGCGAAAGTATTTTCGGAAAGCTGTGTAAAAGTTGAATTTTTTTACCTCTGAGAGTATTTCCTTGTTTATTTGCTCGTTGTATGAACTGCTGTTGGTTATTTGTGTTGGATCCGACCGTATGTTCCAGCTCGTCACTGCTTTCAACCTAAGGTTAGGTTTGTTACTTTTTGAGTACATGGGGTCGGTTGTACTCATACTGCACGTCCTGCACATTACGTGTAGATCCTGGATGCCAATGTTGCTGCGTTCGATGGTTGCTGGATTTGAAGGCGTACCTGCATTCCTTCTGTAGTTGCCTCTTGTTCACGGTAGCCTTAGATTTTAAAATTCTATTTATGTACTTTTCGAACAAAAGATGTATTTTCTTCATATCAGCTTTGTAAACTCTATTCATAGAAGCTCATTGTTGTACTACCAGTCCTTGGGAGATGTAATAGATCCAGATAATTTATTGATATTTAATTGACTTAGTAACATTATTGAGATTGGGTAGTTATTAGTTGGCTTACCTGGCGGGTCGGGTTAGGTGCCATCACGACTAGTGGATTTTGAGTCGTGACAGATTGGTATCAGAGCCCTAGGTTTATAGGTTCTACAAGTCATGGGCAAGTGTCTAGTAGAGTCTTGGAAAGGTTTGACCAAGTTTGACTTTTTAGTATTTGACCTCCGATTGGATTTCTGATGGGTCCGTTAGCTCCGTTGGGTGATTTTTGACTTAGGAGCGTGTCCAGATTTTGATTTGGAGGTCCGCAGTGGAATTTGGCTTTAAATGGCGAAAGTTGGAATCTTGAAAAGTCTGACTAGGAGTGGACTTTTTGATATCGGAGTCGAATTCCAATTCCGGAAGTTGGAGCAGGTCCATAATGGCAAATGTGACTTGGGTGCAAAATTTGAGGTCAATCGGACGTGATTTCATAGGTTTCGGCATCGGTTGTGGAAGTTGAAGTTTCAAAGTTCAATGATTTCGAATTTGAGGTGTGATTCATCATTTTGATATTGTTATGTGTGTTTTGAGGCGTCAAGTAGGTCCGTGCGATGCTATGTTGACTTGTTGGTATGTTTGGATGTCGTCCCGAGGGGCTCAGGTGAGTTTCGGACGGGTTTCGGAGCATTTTCCTTCATGATTTCACTTCTGGTAGATGTTGTTTGCTGGTGTTTCAGACCTTCTTCCCGATTGCGAAGATTGGCAAGTGATCGCGTAGAGTATCACGGGAGTTGTCCTTTTTCCCTACATCGCGTTCGCGCTAGTAGCATCGCGTTCGCGAGCCTTTCTGAGGACTCGGCATCGCGTTCGTGACCTTATGTATGCGTTCGTGTAGGGCAGAGATGAGAAGCTGGGGCTGGGGAGTATCCCTTCGCATTCGCGAAGTAGCTTATGCGATCGCGTAAGGAGGAGCTATTGTGAGTGGCGTTTGCGAGGGCCATGCCGCGAACGCGTAGAGCATTTTTGGTAGCTGGTATTTCTATTCATCGCGAACGCGATGGTTGTCCCGCGTTCGTGAAAGAAGAAGCCTGGGCAGATTATAAAGTACTCTATTTTGAGGGTTTTGGCCATTTTTGCATTTTGGTAGCTATGGAGCTCGGATTGAGGCGATTCTTGATGCAATTTTCACCATATGAATTGGGGTACGTGTTCTCTACTCGGTTTTGGTCATATTTCATGAATCTATCTTCGATTTTAGCAATTGGTTGTTGAATCTTAA